TACGTTTTATGTTTTTGAATTAAAAAGCAGGATTTTATTGGTAAAGTTAATAATGACATGTTCACTTAATGGATACTTTTGCCATTTATATATAACTGTCAAGCCCATTAGATAGGTTATAGTACATTCATATGCTGGAGTCATATTATGTGACAGTTAAAGAGATCTTGAAGTGTGCACTTGACAGTCACGGAATGGTCCTCAGACTAAATTAAGTAAGGTGAGGAATAGTGTGGTGACTATGCTACCTTCATATCATTAATTTTGAATTTTAAAGTTTGAGAGCCATAGATACCCAGGGAGAAAAAGACAGAGACAGATACGGAGGGTGCAGCCATCTGCTCATTCACTCCCCAAATGCCTACAACAGCTGGAACTGGGCCAGGTGAACACCAGAAGGCAGGAATGCAATCCAGGTCTTCCAATTACTTGAGCCATCATCACCTGCCATCTCCCCGGATCTGCCTTGGCAATCAACTGAAGTCAGGAGCCAGAGCTGGGGGTCAAACACCGATACTCTGATGAGGGACTCAAGTGTCTTACACACCATCTGTATCCCTAGGCCAAATGATCATCCCTGTATGCTGGGGATGTGTGTGTGTGTGTGTGTGTGTGTGTGTGTACACAGATCAGGCATATTCAGGGGGTCTTCAGAAAGTTTGTGGGAAATGTTTATTGTAAAAAAAAACGGGTCATGGACTTAAAAAACATTTTCACCAAAATAAACTTGTCTTTTAATTGCAATTCCCATGAACTTCTGGAAGCTCCCTCACGTGTATACACATGCATCCCGTGCACCTCTGAAAGAATCTGTAGGAAACTCACCAATGGGCAGTATTGGGGAGTCAACCAAAATACTCGCGATCGGAGTCATGGCTTGTTCTTAAATTTTTTTTTTTTTTCCATTTTTTTTTTTTTTTTTTTTTTGACAGGCAGAGTGGACAGTGAGAGAGAGAGAGAGACAGAGAGAAAGGTCTTCCTTTTGCCGTTGATTCACCCTCCAATGGCCGCCGCGGCTGGCGCGCTGCGGCCGGCGCACCGCGCTGATCCGATGGCAGGAGCCAGGAGCCAGGTGCTTTTCCTGGTCTCCCATGGGGTGCAGGGCCCAAGCACCTGGGCCATCCTCCACTGCACTCCCTGGCCACAGCAGAGGGCTGGCCTGGAAGAGGGGCAACCGGGACAGAATCCGGTGCCCCAACCGGGACTAGAACCCGGTGTGCCGGCGCCGCTAGGCGGAGGATTAGCCTAGTGAGCCGCGGCGCCGGCCTTGTTCTTAAATTTAATATGCATGTTTCCATCTTGATTTAATTATTTCTCTCCTGGATTGCTTTGAGTAACTAATTGTGTGCTTTTGTCATTTGTCTCTAGTTGAACAAACACCATAAGGAACATCCTTGTAGCTCAATCTTTGCATACTTTGATTGTCTTAAGATGGAGTCCCTTGATGTGGCTTTGATAGGCTTGCAAGGCTTCAGTTTTTTAAATAAAGAATTTACTTGTTTATTTGAAAGGCAGAGAGGGAGAGAGTCTTCCGTCCACTGGTTCACAGATCTGGCTGCAACAGCCAGATGTGGGGCAGGCTGAAGCCAGGAGCCCAGAGCTCTGTCTGGGTCTCCCGTATGAGTGACAGGAGACCAAGTACTTGGGCCATCATCTGCTGCCTTTGCAGGTGCGTCAGCGGGGAGCTGGAGCAGCAGTGGAGTAGCTGGGACTCGAACTGGCAGTCTGACATCAGGTGCCAGTGTCACAGGTACTGGCTTAACCCACTGCTCCGTGTTGCAGAATGTTTGACAGGACCCGCCAGACTGCCTGCCCTGAATTTCCATCCCCACCCCGAGTGAGTCCGTACCTGTACCCTGTGTGCTGGCTGCCCCTGTGAGTGGGATTTATGTTCATCCTTGATGGTTTGATGAGCACAACAGAGAGACACTGGAATCTTCTTGTTTAAAGTTGTATGCATTTGATTTGCAGTCAAGTGTAACATTTTAAATGTATGTAGTGTCAATTTGCTTTTCCTCTTCTGTGAGTCACCTAAGTTTGCCTTTGTTAAATTTTTCCTTCCAGGTATTTGTCTTTTTTGTTGTTGTTATTGCCACTGTTCTTTTTTGTGCTTATATGGTATGGATATTAAACTTTGTCTCTCATACAGCCTACAAATATTTTACTGGTTTATTTGCTTTTTTTTTTTTTGGTTTGGTTTCTGTTGGTTTTAAGGTAGAGGATTTAGTTTTTCTGTAGCCTTCTGTAGCCTTCTTTCTTTTAAAAGATTACTTATGGGAAAGGCAGAGAGACAGAAAGAGAAAGAGAGAAAGAGAGAGAGGTCTTCCATCCACTCGCCCAGCTCCCACAATGGCCAAATCTGACTCAGGTTGAAGCCTGGAGCCTGGAACTCCATCCTGGTGTCCCACATGGATGGCAGGGACCCAGGTATTTGGTATTGTGTGATATGGCCATCTTCCCAGGTGCATTAGCAGGAAGCTGGATCAGAAGCTGAGCAGCTGGGACTTGAACCGGCACTCCAGTATGGGATGCTGGTGTCTAAAGCAGCAGTACAACCTGCTGTGCCACAGCGCCACCCCCCCCCCCCGTGGCAACTCTTCACTATCATATTTTGAAGCTCGACATTAAGTATCTATATTTTCTTCTTGGACATTTAAGCTTTCTTCTAACATTTATGCCTTTAATCCTTATGGAATTAATTTCGGCATATACTGATATGAGCAAAATAGACAACTTACTCCTTCTTTAATGTTAGCCATTTTTAATCTCATCATCTAGCATTGTTGCTGATATATGGAAAATCCAGGGGCTTTTGTGTGTTTATTTTAAAATTGACAGCCTTCCTCTAATTTTAAATTTGAGTTGCTAGTCTGCTTTTCTAGGTAGATCATTGTGTTCTGAGTTTTTCAGTACTTACACTTCCTAGTTTACGGCTTTTATCTCTTTGGCTCTGAATTCTCGAACAGCCTTAGATAATAGTGTAGACATTTGATACTTCCGTTCGCTTTTCTGTGGTGTTTTGCTGTTGCCAGAACTCTGGCTTGCGGGAAGCCTTGTGAGCGCTCAGCGACCTCAGAGGTCCCCTTCGGCTGATGTGGTCCGGGCTTAGCCTGGCTTGGCTCCCCCTGGTTGTGAACACGGGAAGTGCTCAAGACAGAGTTCAGGAATGTTCTGTGAGCATCCCCTCCAGCCAGGCCCACACTGTGACCCTAATGGTTTCCAGAAAAGCCCCTACACTGCCATGGCTGTGCACCGCTGGAAGGCAGCCCTCCCGACTGTTAGCCTGGGGCCGGAGAACTGACGGCGATGTGACTGCCGCGGAGTGCCTGCAGGTGCATTGTCCTGGCTTACGGCAGCACCTGGAAGCTGAGGTGCACCCACCTGTCGCTGTAGCCAAGGGGACCCGTTCTGAGAGGTGCTTGCTGGCTGATGTCATTGTCATGTGAATGTCACACACCTGGGCACGGAGCACATGTGTGGCCAACAAACAACGCAAGATTCAATCAAGGGAGCCATCAAGAGACACAGTAAACGTGGGACCCGAGGTGCTGCTGCCCCACCCACCCTGGCAGGCTGTTTCGCACTCGGGTCTTTAAGCAGGACACTGTCAGATGATGATAATTAGCGCAGAATGGTAACCTCGTGAAACAGGTGTTTATTGTCACGATCGGCGATGGGGCTGACCACGCTGCACCTTGCTGTGTGTGCTGCACCTTGGTACAGCTGACAGCAGAGTGGGTGTGCTTATGCTGGCACCCCCCAGCTCATGGACCCCCTGCCGTCCGTGGGGTTTGTCGGAGTCTGAAACGGTGTTCCTCAGTGCCTGGCTGGATTGCGAAGCCGCAGATGGGTTTGTTGTGTGGTATTTGGGAGGAGTGGGAATGGCGTGCAGGGGTCGGGGCGTGGCTGTGACTGTCTCGCACTGTACCCTGCGCTCTGTGGAAGGAAGGTTGGGCAAAGACCTTGGAGGACCCTCCCGGCACGAAGCCCGTACTGTGAGCATCTTCCCTGGTGCCTTCATGGAGTCCCCTGCCAGGGAGAGGCCAGGGCCCCATCTCAGGACGATACTGAGGCTTCCTGACAGGGCTGCTCTTCCCCTGTGAGACCGCCCGGGCCTCTCGCTCCTTAGCGGGGCTCCGGATGCCAGCTCAGACAGTGCCCAATGACAAACAACAGGGAGGATTTGATCTGCAGGGAGGTTGACACTGAGGGGCTGCCCAGCCAGCCCTGGCTGCTGAAGGGAGGGTGACACTCGGAGGAGGGCAGAGCTGGCCAAAGCTCCCTGGGAGGCGCCAGTACCCCCGGGAGCGTCCCCGTGGGGCTGTGTCCCTCCACATTGTGTCTGTGCTGTCTCCTGTTCCGCAGGGCTCCTCCTCCGTCACTGCCTGCCTGTCCCCATCTCTTCCCAGCCCTTCTCTTCCCCAGCCCTCCTCACTGCCCACCCTGACCTTGACCCCGCGCTCCTGGCACCTGTGAGGACATTGAGTGTCTCCTTCCTTGCACCCTGCCAGCTCCTCGTCCCCTTTCTTCCCAGCGTCTTCCTTTCTGCTCCCATCTGTTGCCATCTGTGCAGTTAGATTTGGTATTGTGTGATAGGGCAAAGAATTTCAGAGTTATCTGGAGCTGTGTGTACCCATGATTCTAAATGTAATTGGATTAGGGTCATTTTATTTTTTGTTCTCTGATGGAGCCAGAACCCTAAAATGTTTTATACTTAGCTGAATTTATTTTTATTAAAAGTATTTCTGTTTCACTAAACAAATAATTGGAGCATGCATGTTAAAGCACTGGCTGTGTTGTAGGGTGCAGACTTTCCGGTTTGGGGAAGCTTGTGTCTATTATCAGCAGCTCCGAGCGAGAGATCCCAGGGAGGACAGAGATTCGAACACACCCTTGCTGGCATCACCCCTTGGAGTCAGTTTGTAGCCCCAGTAGTACTAACCAGTCCCTTGTTTTCTTTTCTTGCTGTTGGCTGTTATCTGTGTGCCTGGAACTCTCAGGATGAAATTTTGACCGTCATCCGAAGAGTGGACGATAACTGGGCAGAAGGAATGCTTGGGGACAAGATTGGCATCTTCCCCCTGCTGTACGTGGAGGTGAGTACACCAAGGCCCTCATACCGGGCCCAGCCTGGCCCTGCATCCGTGCCATGTGGGCCATCATGCTTCCCCCCACGGTGAGCCTTGAGGACCTAAATGCCCTCTGCAAACACATTGGTGCTGTCTCAACCGTGGCTGGCTCCCCCGGCTTACCAGATGGGCATACCAAGACCAACGGTGCAAACCTGGCTGAGCTGGGCTGGCCACGGGCTGCTGGAAACATCTGTACTTCCTGGTGCACTGTAGAAATCTTCCTCTCGCTATAGTCTTTACAACCCCTGTGCACCAGCTGCTGAGGCTCCCACACCAGTGGGGCTCCCCAGGCTGCCCCGTCCACACGCTGCTGGCCAAGACTCACGCCGTTTCCAGCTCCTCCTGCCGCTGTCCCAGCCATGGTCCCATCCCTTGCTGTTTTGTCCCATCAGTCTCGTGGGGCACTGCTGATGGCCAGTCTCTGCTGACCGCCCCTACACCTGTTCAGCTGGGGAGTGGAGCCCCAGCTGTCCTTGTCCTGGTGTCCATGGGGGACACTGAGAGGAGCTGAGCAGGCACCCTTGACCTTGAGAAATTCCAGTGCAACAGACAGGACCGGAGTTAGACCCAAACATTGGACAGTATCCTCCTCCCATGCCTCTAGTCCCTGAGGGGTGGAATAATTTATAGCTGTTTTAGAAGTGGCAATGGCTGAGTCTGAGGGAGTGCCTGCTCCCCCACATGTGGGGGCCATGGAGCCGCCCATGGAGACGATGCAGCATGGGTCCTGCGTGAGGGGCTCCATCATTCAGAAGTCAGCAGCTTCCCCCCGGGGCTCCAGGACTGCATGCCTGGGGTCTCCCCCAGCCTGGCCCTCTGCTGTCCCTGACAACAGAGCTTGTCTCTCGCAGGCCGAGACACGTTAGAGGGCAGGGCGTGTGAGGCAGCTGTGGGCAGGTCAGGGTGGCCTGGGCGTCAGAGGGGGACCCAGCTGGTCACGCATCACCCTGCTTTAGTACTTCAATGTGAAGGGTCCGGGCAGGTGTGTCGGCTTCCTGAGCCTGTGTTTATCCCTCAGACGAGGCCACAGTGGGAGTCTCCCATGCTTCAACCTCGGCAGACCTGAGCTCAGGGCGCCTGGCACCTGGGGCAGCCAGGGACCCCGCACCCACCAGTGCTGGAGGCCTGGCCCTCTGGCCCTCTTGGAGAACACTGCCTTCTGTGCCGTGGGAGAGGGCCAGCTCTAGGAAGGGAGGACCAGGGCTAGCAGGGGCACTGGGGGCTGGGCTGACAATTCCAGCGTGGCGGACAGAGCCAAGCCCTTTGGAGTCCATAAACATGTGTCTGCGTGTGGGTGGTGTTGGGCAGCTATTGATGCAATGTATAGATCCTGCAAACATAATGGTGCAAAACCTAAAACCCTGATTTAACTGAGTGAATATTATAATACCCCCGAAAAGCATGAAAGTTAGCAGGGGCAGCTTCTTCCTGTGTTGAGAGCCTTTCAGCACAGTAACCACACTGTGCATTGCCCGTGGTTGTGTTCGGGGCTGCAGCCTTGAACTCTGTTCGTCCGGTGCACGCAGCTTGCTGTCTCCTCCTCGCGTGGGCTTTGATAGACAAAATATTGTGTTGACCCTGTGCCTCTCCATGCAGTTCTGAAGTAACTGATGATAACTAATGGGGCTCCGCGACAGCTTCCTCTGAATCATTCTTCAGCCTGCAGGAGTCCCGTGCTAGTTTACGGTTGCAAGCCCCTCTTCCCTGAGTTGGATTTGCCATCTCACAGGCTCGGTGTTGCTGCCCCGTTGTCTTGTAGGTTTTTAGCCCCTGGCGGAAGCGCACAGTAGGAATTCAGGAAGGTGAGAGGGGCTGTGTGCTTGTCAGGGTTCTCCAGAGAGAACCACCAGGAGGTGGGTGCGTGCGTGGAGGCGTGGATGCAGGCACAGATGGGTGAGAGCGGATGTATCGGGAGCGATAGGGAGGCTAAGTCCCACACGGGCCGTGTACAGGCTGCAGACCCCGGGAGACCTGTATCATGGCTCAGTCCAAGTCTAAAGGGCTCAGAAGCCAATTCAAGGCCAAAGGCCCAAGCACCCAGATGGATGCCTGGAGTAGTCCTGGGATCCCCAGGCTGGACAGCCTGGAGTTCTGTCTCAGCTCCAAAGAGAGGGACATCTTCCTTTCTTGTTCTGTCCAGGTCCACTGCTGATTGGATGATATCCACCCCCATGGAGGGCGGGTCTTCCCCACCCAGCCCACTGCTGATTGGGTGATAGACACCCCCCCCCATGGAGGGTGGGTCTTCCCCACCCAGCCCACTGCTAATTGGATGATATCCACCCCCATGGAGGGCGGGTCTTCCCCACCCAGCCCACTGCTGATTGGGTGATATACACCCCCCCATGGAGGGCGGGTCTTCCCCACCCAGCCCACTGCTAATTGGATGATATCCACCCCCATGGAGGGCGGGTCTTCCCCACCCAGCTCACTGCTGATTGGATCCACCCACATAGAGGGCGGGTTTTCCCCACCCAGCCCACTGTTGATTGGATGATATCCAGCCCTCTAGGTGTTCCTGAATGCAGTCAGGTTGGCACCTACAGTGGGCCATCACAGGGCAGAACTCCTAATGAGCGAGGTGGCGCGGCAGTGAATTTGGAATCCCTTTCTCCCGTTGTGCACCCACCACTGTGCCGTACAACTGAGGCTGGGTATGCAGGTGAGCATGCGGTCCTGGAGAGGGGGCGCCTGTGTAGTCACCGGTCCCCTTCTTCCCAGGACTCCGTCAGCCTCCCACAGAGAAACTGAGCAGGTCAGGAAGTGAGGGGCCAGAAAAGGAAACTTCACACCCCACCCCCACCCCACCCCCCACCCCAGCTGCTGCCTGAGAACACTCCGCCTAGGGTAGCAACGACAGATGGATTTTCTCCCTCCGTAGCAGGCGGACAGTGCCCCACAGAGATTCACAGATACAAGCCCCGGGGGGAGGGGGTGGTCCAGCAGCCCAGAAACAGAATGTGTGGGTGTTACAGCCACTGGCACCTGGGTGCAGGTGCTTCTGGGCTGACAGGACACCAGCTGCTCCCCGCGACACCCTCACCAGCCCAGCGAGAGGGCAATGCCTCCGAGACAGAGGGACCTCTGTTGGATAAAGGACCTACACAGTCGCCTCCGGCCCCTCTCTTCTCTTTTTCTCATTTTTATTTACTTGAAAGGCGAATGATGGAGAGAGGAACAGGCATCTTCCATCCACTGGTTGATTCCCCAGACACCCACAATAGCCGGGGCTGGGCCAGGCTGAAGCTGGGAGCCAGGAACTCCATCTGGGACTCCCACATGGGTGGCAAGGGCCCAAGCACTTAGGCATCAGAGATGGAGGAGAGACTCTCCAGGATGGGATCCGGGCATCCCAAGGAATGTCTTAACTCCCAGTTCTGCTGAAGTGCTGGCACACGCTTGCCCTGGCATTGACTTGGGATGGGCTGGGTCTTTCCACCCCACTTCTCCGCCAGGGTCCCTTCAGGGCTGCAGAGGTGGAGCCAGCGTGTGGGATTGGGGGTCTGGAAGGGGCGGCGTGGACATTGCATAGTCACTGAGGAGCCATGGAAGCCCCAGGTGTCAGGTTACGCTCCTGCCTGTACAGCTGTGAAACCGGCCATGTGCAGCCGCATCCCACATCCCGACGTTTTCCCGTGAAGTGGTGGGGGGAGTGCATGGGTGGGTCCCCATGCCTGGCCCAGGGCTGGGTGTGCTGCAGGCACTGGCAGGCAGCCACTTGAGAGACCTTGTTGGAAGCATGCTTTGAGAATCCCTGCGGTCTCTGCAGGAGAGGTAAACAGCTGCCAAAGGCAATGGGGCAGGAGAGGTCCATGCACCCTGGTAGACGGAGCAAGACAGGCCACCCCTTCTGGGGGTGTCGAGGGGAGCCCAGGCAGGAATCTTTGCTTATGCCTGTGCATCTGTCTCTAGCACACACAGGCCTAAACATAGAGTGCAGTGGGGATAGATGTTCCAGTGTGCCTGTCTACCCATCCTGTCCTTGGCACTGTTTCCGGCTGGAGTCCCACTGATGGACTTTCCTCCTTATCCCGGGCTTCTTTGCCTGCTGGGTGATTTTTTGCTTGGGCACCTGCTTCCTGGCTCTTACCTTGTGGGAAGTTGGGTGTCTACAACTACTCCAAAAAGCATGCCTGAGCTTGGGAGTTCTGGGACACTGTTCGGTTCCTTAGACACAGTCTGATGCTTGCAGACTCTCTCTGAAGCTGTCAGACAGGGCTGATCTTCCCTGCTCTGTGCCCAGCGGCTGGGGCTGCCTGCTTTGTCCGTCTTCATGCTTCTCCCTTTGTGATCTTTGGCGCCCACTTCCTGGGTTTGGGCGCACAGGGAGAAGCAGGTGCAGCCTTGGTAGCCGGGGCACCTTTGGGATTCAGGTTCTAAGCTCAGATGGCGCCTGTGCGTTTAAGGAGGCTTCCTCCGGCCACTCCAAGCCCCGGAGTATGGCAAACGAGAAAAGGCAGCTAATTCCGGCTTTATCTTGTTTCTGCTACACCCACTCAGAGAAATTCAAAGCTCTGCTCCCTGTTGCTTTTACGTGTTTGAAACCCCACAAAGAGAGAGCAATTAAGAGTTCCATTTGGAAACTCCCAAGGCCTCTCTCCTGTGGGAGGCAAAGGCAAAGCTGTGGGGCACCAAGCACAGCCCCCAGGGGTCTTCCGTGCAGTGATTGTTCCCTCTTACTGCTCGGCCACTCCCCCCGTCCCCCACGGAGGCCACTCTGGCTCTCTGGGAGACCATTCTGATGAGGGTCTGGAAGCTTCCATCTGCCACACGCAGTTACACTCCGTGCTGACCTCTCCCCTCCATCACAGCCCTGGCGAGTTGGGTTTCTGCCTGGTGATGCCAAGGAGAGCAAGTGGCAGCCCCAGACACCTGCCCGTTGCCAGCTCAGAACCGAAACACCCCTGCCGCCGGCGACTGTGCCTTTCTTACTGGCTGGGAAGACAGTGGCTCCTTGTGCCTTG